GTAGATTCTGAAATTTCATGATCTTTAACCTGTACTGATAGAAGCATAAGCACAACCATGACCATATGTTTGTTTTTCTACTAAGTTTATATGCAAAAGTATGGTAGCAGAGACTGAGACTTAAAATTATATTATGCTTTTGAGTACTTAGCATGTTCCTTATTTATATTTTTCTTACTGCAAAAGAAACAAGTAGAAAATAACAATTTTGTTGAGAAGATCAACTTATGATAAGTCAGAATAGGCAACGTTATGTTGAAATAACACACACTGTAAATCTCAATGGTACAAAATGACCGAAGTTTGTTACCTACACCAAATGTTTATCATAGATTCCCGGAGGACTCTGCTCCTTGTAGACACTTAGGGGCACTACCTATTGAAACAGCTACTATCTTTAATAAGGTCAGTCACAATACTAAAGAAAAAAAGACCTCTGAAGAGCCTCACAGTAATAATTAGATGCTTTGGATTAGAAGTAACACGTGTCATCGCACTTAAAATTCACTGGCCAGAACCAATCACATGGCTCCATGCAAACAGAAGAAAATCTAGTAGATTTGCTCTTGCCCAGAAGGCAAAGAGCCACATATCTTTTGTATATGATATTAATGACTGCCATACCCTCTTAAGAGGAAAAGTGATAGATTTTTGATAGCCATCTATGAATTTCCTGTTTGCTCAGTTTCCCAAACTAGTTCCCAGACAGAAGAAAACTTATACATGCACACACGTGCACACACATGCTGTTTATACTTTCTTTTCTTCTTCCTAGTGCTATTCAATAGAGAAACAAGTATGACATCTAAGGCAATAAATTGATGTGATGAGAACATGAGAGATGCCTTAAAAGCTCAAAGGTAGGGGCACCTAGGTAGCTCAGTAGGTTAAGCATCTGATTCTTGGTTTTGACTCAGGTCATGGTCTCGCAGTTTAAGCCCCACATCAGGCTCTGTGCTGACAGTGTAGAGGCTGCTTGGGATTCTTTCTCTCCCTTTCTGCCCCTCCCTGCTCGTGTTCTCCCTCTCTGTCTTTCTATATCACTCTCTCTTCTCTCTCTCTTTCAAAAATAAATACGTAAACTTAAAAAAAAGCTCAAAGGTACATTCAGCTTACTTTGGGCATAATATAAAGCAGAGTAGAAAAGAGCATGAACAGAGAGGAAGGGTGGATTCTGAAGAAGGGTTTTTGTAGGTCATAGGAAAATGTAAGTATATGAGGAGTTGGTAAAGAGAGAATCAAAAGGAGAAAAAGGAACTGAGGATAAGGATAGACAACAATTTTTATTAGATTATTTCATTATTTCTTTCATTCAGTAGTGACTTACTGGTCCCCGGATATGTGCTAACCCCAAAGTTGTCTCTGGATATGGGATATACAAGATAAACCCACTCTTTGTCTTCATGGAACTCAGTGGTAGGAAATATCAACATCATGATAATCTTTAATGTTGAGTATGTACTACAAACTCATTCTCTGTGTTTCTTAAAAATTATACAAGAAAAGTAGAAAATGCCAGTTATAAGTGATTCTTATCAAATACCTTATTTAATTCTCAAAACTAAAAACCTTACAAGGAAGTACTATTACCATGCCCATTTAGAGATAAAGACATTGAAAGCTCAAATGATTAGTAATTTGATTAAAGTTCCAAAATAGAGTCTAGATTCAAATCTAAGGATTTTGACCCCATATTGCAATTGTGTCAATTATTGATTACAGAAGGAAAAAAAAAGCATACATTAAGTCCTATGCAGGAGTTAAGTGTAATGAGAAGTCATGGGGAGACTAAGAAGAGAAGTGACATTCCCAGAGTTACATTTTCAGAAAGACCAATATGTATGTGAATAGACCACAGGGAGTCTACAGTAGAAAAAAAGGAAGGTAGGAATATAGTAAAGTGTTTTGAAAATATATGGTAGCCGTTCAGGATGATGGTAGAAAATGTGGTGAGAAATGGCCATATTTGACTTTGAAGGTATTGCCCCCAGATTGCAAGTGTGCTTAAAGAAAAATTAGGGATCACTCCTAGTTTTGTGGCCTGGTCAATTGGGGTGAACAGTGTACTATTCATTCAGTATTATTTACTGAAATGAAAAAAAGCATGGTAGGAAAAATTTCAGGGGTAAGGAAATTGAGAATGTTCATAAATCTTTAAGTTTGAGATGCCTTATTAATTATTCCAATGGAGAAGAAGAGATGTCAGTCTGGCAGTTGAAAATATACATCTAGTTTTCAAAGTAACGAAAAATCAGCCTGGAGATATAAATTTAGGGTTCAAAGGTATGTAGATAGTATTTGAGCCATGGTCCTGAGTGTTTGTTTGAGTGTAAATAAATCCCTGGCACTTTCCACATTTGCATAGCAGGTAAAGGAAGAGAACCAGTAGAGGAGACTTAGAAGCAGTGGCCAATAAAATAATAAGATAACCTGGGGAATGTGGAAACCTGGAAGCCAAATGAGGGATGCTTCAAAATTCAAGGGGAAAAAAAAGACCAGTGGCACATGTTGCTTATAGGTCAAGTAAGATAGATTGAGAACTAAGCTTGGGATTCAAAATGATGGAATTCATTGGTTATATTCATTTTATCATTAAGTAGAGGTCACCCATCATTTCTGATTTGTTGGAAATTTTAGAAACAAAGCCTTATTCTGTCATCTTATTCTATCTGTGGAATGTAATATTAACAAAAATTGAATTTTCACAGTTTACCCCATTAAGGAGGCTGGCTACCTTCTCCTAAAATCATATCCTTGCCAGAAGGAGTGTCTGGTTATCATGTGAACACTGTAAGATTAATTTCATTACAGGCATAGAAAGCTAGACAATAGAAATAATACGAATTCTAGTGTAGTAATCAAGCATTAAAATTATAGGCATTAACTATTGCAGGAAGCATAAACTATATAACCCTTAAGTACAAAATAATTATAGATATGCAAAATATATTTTATAAAGTGATTGCCAGTACACTGTTCTAACTCCAACTGTACTGTTTCCCTTATTGAACTTTATTTGCAAATTGACTTTCAGGAAACTTTTTGGTCCATCCTACAAGCTACCATTAGGAACTTTGCTATTCAAAGTTCTCATGTTGTCTGTGGTTGGCTGCTGTGCTTTTAAGAGCAAAGGCACAGAGAGGGATGATGTATACACATATTCTAAAATACTATCATTAACCCCTTAGTTAATTAGGTCTAGACTGCTCCCTTCAGCAGTCAGAATAGGAATTATATGCTCATTTTCTCTCTTATAGTGTCACCAAAATTAAAAAAAAATTCTTTACAGAAAATATGGCAGCTCCAGATGGTGAGTTTCTGTCAATTAAGAGAACAGATAATTTTAGTTAACCCTTGGAAATCTCACTGACAGTCATTTCTCCTCTCCTTTTCATTTAGATACCCTGTAAAATATCCTAACATGTGATCAGCAATGATTATATACAAGTATCTACTGGACTTTTCACAGGGACCTTTTCTAAAATATACTGACACAGGTTAAAAATGACAGTTAAGAAAGACCAAGATATTTTCCTGGTGAACACTTTAAGTATATTTTGAAGTAAAAATGACAATACACATACACAGAGTTAACCTCACATTTTTACATTCTGTTACAGGGCTTCCCTTATCACACCATGTCAGTGACTCTCCAGTCACCATTATGGACTTTATTATCTTCCATTTGATGTCTGTATACCTTTCCCTTGAGTCCTAGAGGCTACTGTTTCCACTTTGTAAACATCCCAAATGTCTAAATCTGAATAGCCAATTTCTTATTTCATGTATTTTCCTTAATTATTTTTAGAGCATCTTAAAGATTTTGAACACTTCCACCAGAAAATGGGCAAAGACAGCAAATACACACAAAGAGGCAATATATTTGACTGCCTGTAAATCATAGCACTGAAAAAAAATTTTGCCCAGGACAAGAGATTATTTATGATTCATTAAACTCACTGACTGATTCATTTGACTTCTCCATGTAACTCCCTCCCTGACAGAAAAATATTAACACAACCCATATGCATTGTAAAAATAAGTTTGACTAAGATCTTTTTGGATTACAAGGAACAAATTAAAGAATAATAAAGCATTAGAACATTTACATTTGAAAATTTGCAATTGTAAATTCATTCTCTACCTCTTTGAGATATAAATCTTCTACAACTCAGGAATGTTTTCCTTTAGGTCCTGGGAGCCATCCTTTGAGATGTAATCACTAAAAAAGATAGGAGCACTGTCTCCCATCTCAGTGGAAGGGTAGGAACCTAACTTCCTAGACAATTAGGAAACACAGATGGCCTACCCACACTGAACAAATTCCTTCCACTAACCTCCAGGTTGTGTTTTTCTCCCCATTACCTCACCACAGTGTTTAAAAATCCTCCCACCTCTTGTTTCCAGGGAATTGAGTTCAGTCTCTCTCCATTATTGCATGCAATGTCTTGACCTCTATTGCAATAGTCTTGGATAGTCTTTCCATTTTTAACAAGCATCCAGTGCAATTCTTCTTTTATAGTATTATAGCAGGGGCTGAGAAAGATGTGGAAGAAATATAAATACTATTACCCCATTCTACAGAGTTTATAATCTGCTTAATAAATAGAAATAAAAATACACAAAAGAGGAATGCCTGGCTGGCTCAGTCGGTTGAGAGTCTGACTTTGGCTCAGGTCATGATCTCACAGCTCGTGAGTTCGAGCCCTGCGTCGGTCTCTGTGCTGACAGCTCAGAGCCTTGCACCCACTTCTAATTCTGTGTCTCCCTCTCTCTGCCCCTAACCCACTGGCATTCTCTGTCTCTCTCAAAAATAAACATTAAAAAATTTTTTTTAAATACACAAAAGAATTAATGAAAAAGTAAGAGCAATAGAGGTTCTGTGAAAGAAGTCAATGTGATTTGAAATTCTTCTACAAATAAAATCATTAATTAACACCTATGTGAACCCAAAAGTAATATTCTGCAAAGAGCATCTCTGACTTTGCCATTGACTACTCTTTAACCTTACTCAGGTTACTTGATAATATCTGTGCTTCTTTGTTGATAAAATAGGGAAAATAGCTGATTTAACTATGTTATGAGACTTAAAAATAGCCAGTAATTATTGACCACTTACAATGTGGCAGGTGTTATGTTCTAAAATGCTTTACCTATACTAACTCATTAGATTCTTACAACATTAGGTGATACTATTTTCATCCTTATTTTACACTGGAGGAAACTAAGGCACTAAGATAGTAAACATCTTGATCATAAGTATCGCCACACAAATGGCTGGCCAACAGTGAACATCCAAGCACTATTCCCTACTGCTTACTTCATTCAAGTCTATGAAAATGCTTTCAAACCAAAACTAAACAAATACATGGAAAATAAATAAATATAAAAAGAAATGAATGTCCACTCTGAGAAAATGGGAAAAACTTAGCTGACTTCTGACATTTCTCCAATGTTCTGCATTCTGGTATGTGGGGATAATCAACATAAACTCTGTAAATTGTAATTTCCTGTTACACCTTCCAGTTTCTGCATTCTAAAAGAACACAAATCTGTGTTTTTAAAGGCTGCTTAAATATCTGTACTTTTGGATCAGAAGCATCATCTCTCGTGAATGTTTTTCTTCATAATACTGAGAAAGACAGATGGGAATTTGTGCCTTCTCTCCACTGAAAGCAACAGGGAGAAAGTCTTGGAGCTGGGAACCCTTCCTGATTGTTTACTCTGCCTGGCTACCTGCCCATAGCAGCTTCTTGGATCTCTCCCTGAGAGCCCCCATGACAGCTATTCTGAAGGTCAGGTCTGTGCTCCACACATCTGTCACTATATTTCTTGTGATTTGCAGGCAGAAGACTGGTAGAATTGACCTGGGTTATTGATAAATATTGATAGTTGTGTGTGAAAACGTACTAGGGCATATGAGCTAGTTCTGATGTAGGAGGAATTTCTGTTCTCTTGACTCACCCCTCTCTTGCTCTTTGCTTTTCAGTTATTTGCATGCTTGTTAACACACATCCTGTAGGACAAGCAAGGACAAGAAGAGACATGCAAACTTAAATGAAACCATTCAGGTACAGTTGTAAGTAAGTGTCTGACAGGACCAAGATAGAAATGACAGGCTTCTGCTGCTTGACTTTTAGTTGTGGGGCAATAGGGAATTTTCTTGTTTTTTGTAATGTTCTTTCCTGGCCTATTTTTACCACTGAGTATGTTTTTATTTTGTAATTGTGAATAAAATATTAATAACACCTCATAAATACATTAAGTGTTAGCTTCACTTTTCAGAAAAGCTGAACTGTTCAATATCTTTCAAAGCATAAGCAAAGTGTGCAGTTTTTTTTGTATGTACAATATTGACTTTACCTGGATACAATGTATTGGATCAACCCTAGAAGTCTGGAAGACAACTGCTTAACCATTGATTCAACAGACATTAAGTTGGGCTGCTCAAAAATTCTCTTGCTCCTATATATTATTAGCATTAACAGTGAAGAATTACTGCTTATGTATTATTGAGTACAAATTTATTGAGCACCTAATATGCTCCCAATTATAAGTTACATGATATGGTATCCATGTATCCTAGTTACATGATATGGTACCCATGTATTCCAGTTACATGATATGGTACCCAGCTTCCTTGAACTAAATTGTTATGCCAAACAAGAAGCCAGATGACCCATCTTTTTAATGTAGATATTTATCCTATATAATCTTTTTTTAAAATTAATGTTTGTTTATTTTTGAGAGAGAGAGAAAAAGTGTGAGCAAGGAAGGGGCAGAGAGATAGGGAGACAGAATTCAAAGCTGGCTCCAGGCTCAGAGCCATCAGCATAAAGCCTGATGCGGGGCTTGAACTCACAAACTGTGAGATCATGACATGAGCTGAACTCAGATACTTAACCAACTGAACCACCCAGGAACCCCCTCCTATATAATTTCTTATCCCTTCATATATTTGGCTGCCTGGATAACAAGACAATTCATAGGTAGGTAGGTAGATAGATGATACATGTATGTAATAAAAGACAAATGGTGTTGAATAAATTTAAGACAATTCAGATTAAAAAAAAGAATAGCATACAAAACACCATACAAGCTATAAAATGAATGTTTTGAGAATAAGATTTCTGGAGGTCAATGCTTATAGGGTGCGTCAGGAAACTAAAAAGTCGGTAAGGTCTAGTGATTTTAAGCCCAAGCACAAAATGACTCCCAGGAGAATCTAGTGACAAGACAGAGAGCCTTAAATGTAGGGCCTAGGGGAAGTGGAATCATATCTTCTCCTGGAAAAAGTGTCAAAGATAGACACAGAATAAGGAAGATCATTTCTACGGAGGCTGGAAAGTGAATGATCCTAAGGAGCTACTAACAGAAGGTGAGAAACTGGGCAGTCACAGTGGGTATCATTGTACATGATCAATCACCAATTAGTGGAACATAGTTGAAGCAAAAATGTTGATTTTTTTATTTATTATTTTTAATTTTGCAGAGGCTGAACAGCCTGAGTGTACACAGCCTGAGTGAGGCCTGCATGTGAAATGTAAGTGTTCTTAGTTACATTAAACACTATTTCATTCTTCTTAAGGCCTTCCATGGGCAAGTGGAGGAGAAGAGTGAGTTCAAAGAGGGAGAAGAGAGCCCACAATAGTTTTTCCCTGGGTTTTTCTCAAATATCAGGCACGTCTCACAAAACATAACACTGTACCTGTCAATGTGGATTTCTCATTGAAAACAGTTATGTGTGAACATTTAGTGGACAGAGACAAAAGAGCCAGATTATAACTTGACATTCAATGGAAGGTGGCAATTCAGTTAGGGTAAGGTTATTTATTACTCCCTTTTGGGTAATATATTATGAAAATTTGTTCCTCGAATCTTTTGTCAATCATAACTCAACACCCAGGTATTCCTAGTTGTTGAAGGAAAGCTTTCAGTGGAAGAAAATTCCAAAGAATTAACAATGGCAAAGCCATGTTTTCCTTTTTGGCCTGTCAGTTAGAATAAATGTGGTTGTACATACACAGGGCATTATAGTTACACCCTTTTATTCACATTGTCATATCTTCCCATACCCCCTTTTGCATATTTAAATTATACAGTGTATATCTAAGTCTTTTAGGGTCAAACTCAAAATATAGTCCCAGAATTAACCCTGCCTTGACAATTCTCATCTTCACTAATCTCTTCCTCTAGACTTTTTTGTATTTCAACTTTAAAAATTAAGGCAACAGAGAATGATGGTTTATGAACTCAGGTATGGATTTAGATATATTTGGGTTTGGACCACTGTTCTGTGATTTTCTTTATGCTATCAGGCAAATTACTTACTCTCCCCTTAGCCTCAAATTTCTCTTTGTTAGAATGAGAACAACAGCAACCCTCAGCGATGTTATATGAATTGAATGAGACCATTTTCCAATATGCTATTCATGGCACTTGACTAAATTCTCAATAAACTTCAGGCATTTTGAGTGGTAGTAATAATATTATTATTAGTCAACCAAAACAGAGAATTTTTTTAAAAATGCAATGACTATTCTTGATATTCACTGTGACTACAATGTTTCTTCTGTTAATAAAAATCCTAATTATCCTTTAATACTCATTCAAATCTTACATCTATCATTAAGACTCTCTCAAATACCTCAGTAACCAGTAATCTCCTCTGAAATATCCTACTAGTCAGAGGATGTTATACAAAATTTTAACAACAGGATTTATTGAACACAATGTGCTTTGAATTCCAACATACCTATGCTTGAATCCCTTCTCTGTAATTTCCTAGCCATGTATCATTAGCAAGTATCTATAACTGATCAAATACAAGGGAGTTTCCAAGGTCCAAATGAGAGAATCCAAAAGAAATTTTAAATTTGTAAACTTAATTATATATTTGCGTATAACATTTAATTTCAAATTTAGTAATAGATTCAAAAGGATTTATTAAATAAAGTAACGTACTTAAAGCATTCTCTTCTCCTATTTTATAAAATATGTATTTAAACTCTTCATAATCATCTTGACATCAATGTCTTATAAATAGAATCATTGGTAAGCCATCAAATACTGTTTTCCAGATATGATTGAGACACTGCACTTTTCAAATTTCTGAAAAAGGCTTCAGTGGAAAAATTTTACTTAAAGTCTCAAATTTCATTTCCAAAGCTTTGGCACAGTTTTGTTGTTGTTGTTTTTCCATTTGTTTTATAGGAATAATGGGGATCCTAATGAATCACTGGATTGATTTTCTAAATGATCTTCAGAAGTCTTGCTTATACTCATCCCCATTATTTGGAATTGTGAGATTATATCCCCAGGAATCATTATTAAATCCATATTCAAAGTTTTGGCATTAAGTATCATTAATTATCTTTTTTCCTCCAATTCTATTTCTGTAAAGGTTTAATACTAGCTGTGACTGAGGTTTTTCAAGAGAGGTATCTTCTTCATAAGCCATTTTGTTGTGTACATTCAGATAATTTGAGAAAATACTCCAAATTTTGATTCAATTGAAGAGCTCAACCATAAGGCAATTCCTTTTACAGGGAATAGTTTCACATCTGAGCATATGCAGAACTTACCTTCCTTGAGCATCAGCCATTTTACTTCTAAAATCGTGCTATCTGTATCTACAGTTACAGAACTGTTGGATAATTAACTAAATGAGATGGCATGTAGAACACCTGGTATTGTGTCTAGCACATTTTGCATTTTGTATACATTTTAGAATTATAAGGAATCACAATTATCATCAAAGAATACAGATGCCCGGATAATTTGCCCAAAGCAATGCAGCTAAAATGAGAACCCAAGTGTTCCAAATCTATATTCAGCTCACCCTTGGGTAAGCATTTAAAACGCCTTGTTTAAATTTAATGTACTATGGATGAAAATAAATCATTTCAGAACTAGATTAGTGGAATAGTAATTTGTAGCAGATTTTTAAAAGATGAAAAAGAGAGATGAGTGGCTAAAGTCTGTGGCATACGGAGATTAAAAAAAAAAAGAGGTCAATGATTGGGAAACTGACTGGCAAGGAGACAATACATTAACAATTATGTTATCTGTTAGGACTTTTTGTTTGATATTTGCTTGATCCCTACTAGTGTAAGTTTTAGTTTTCTGGTACACAAAGGATCTGAATTTATTCTGATCATGTATGACCTTTCAAATAAGAAGAATTTTCTGATCAAAATTGTTTAATTAGATATCTGCCTTTCATATGTACTATTATTTATTGAGGCATTTAAAAATTGACTATTTCAGATGTAATTATATTCATAGAAGAATTTTATATTACTACAATTATAACTTTATAACTAGTTGGTATATTTGTCACTAATGGAAATTTAAATAAAATTCACTCATTAAAATACATACACAATTATCAAAACATACAGATATTAAAATGTAAATGGATGTTTATTTAAATGTGCTTGTCTTTGTAATGCAGTGCCACATTAAAGTTCACACAGCAGTTTGGGAGCACATGTCTGGCAATTAGAATGACAAAGTTCTAAGTCTCAGGATTGATGATCATCTCGTTTCATGTCTGGTGGTAATTATCACTAGTCATGGTTTTTTGGTTTTGCTTTGTTTTTTTAAGTTTATTTATTTTGAGAGGGAGACAAAGTGCAAGTGGTGGACGAGCCGAGAGAGAGAGAATCTCAAGCAGGCTATATACTGTCAGTCCAGAGCCTGATGCGGGGCTCGAATTCACAAACTGTGAGATCATGACCTGAACCAAAGTCAGATGCTTAACTGACAGAGCCACCAAGGCACCTCTATCACTGGTCTCTTGTGTGAACTCTTCCCTCTAGTGAGATAGAGCTCCTCATTTTCACTCAAACATTCTTACAAAAATTCTCAGTATTATGACCTGAAAAGCCTATCACTTTTCTTTCCATCAGACTTGCCTTTTTTTTTTTTTCCTCCAGATTCACTCTTACCACTCCAGAGAACTTCCCTATGACCCTGTATTGTTTTACCTCCATCTTGTTCAGTGCTCATATACCTCTTCTCATCATACTAGGACATAGAGTTTCAAAGAATGAAACCTGAGAGATCATGAAAATTATCAGTAGGAAGACTGGAGTTCCAAAGGTCGAAATGAAATTGCCAGATAGGAGGAATATGTTCATTGTAGCCTGTGTTGCCTGTACTTTTGTGGGTGTTTCATCTAAGGAATTATTGCCATGATCAATGTCAATGAGCATTTTTTCTGTTTTCTTCAAGGAGTTTTATTACATTTTCAGGTGTTATATTTAAGTCTTTATTCTGAGTTAATTTTTGTGAGTGGTTTAAGATAAGGATCAGGTCCCCAGTCTTAAAAATTATTAAAATTCCTGCAGATCTTTTGTTAATATGGGTTATATACTAATATTTCCATATTATAAATTGAAACACACTTTAAAATCTTAATACATTTTAAAAATTATGTTAACATAAAGAACTTTTATGAAACAAAATAATTTACAGAATATTTGGCAAGAAAAGTAAAATTGTTTTATGTTTTTGAAAATCCATGCGGCTTAATAAAAGCTAAGTTTTCATTTCTGCTTCTCCTATGGCTAATTTTATGTGTCAACTGGGCTAAGGAATGTGTGGTAACACATTATTTCTGGATATGTCTGTGAGGGTGTTTCTGGAAAAGATTAGCATTTAAATCAGTCCACTGAGTTGAAGAGGATCCACTCTCACCACAACAATGGGTTCCATCCAATCCAATCCCTTGGGAAACTGAATAGAACAAAAAGGAAGAGGAAGAGTGATGTCGTTATTTGTGCTTGAGCTGGGACATCTATCTTCTGCCCTCAGACATTAGACTGTGACTTACACCACAGGATCCCCTGGTTCTCAGGCCTTCGGACTCAAACTGGATTATACTACCTGCTTCCCTGGTTCTCCGGCTTTCAAATGGCAGCTACATCCTGACTGATACAGCTTCTTAATTCCATATTTGCCAATATGTTATTTGGTTAAAGTATATGAAAATCTGGGATTACACAGATTTGTAGTTGGAGAAAAGAAAGTATTTTTATTTTCCAGATAATTGTGCATGTTCCCTTTTGATACTACACCAGAACTTGGCAAAGAGTAGTTTCCTAAAAGTTAGTTGCAATGTGGAAATTTGAGACCACATCAGTAAACTCTTTAAACTTATTACATTTAAAATCCATGTCAATCTTGAATTTTTCTTTTAATGGGGGGGAGAGAGACAGAGTACAAGCAGGGGAGGGGCAGAGAGAGAGGGAGACACAGAATCTGAAGCAGGCTTCAGGCTCTGAGCTGTCAGCACAGAGCCCAACGCGGGACTCGAACTCATGAACTGCGAGATCATGACCTGAGCTGAAGTTGGATGCTTAACCAACTGAGCCACCCAGGCACCCCAGTCAATCTTAAATTTTGAATGAGTCTGTTTGTAAGTTGTTTTTGAAAAATCCTGCAACTTTCATTCAGAAAACATTGGTTTACTGACCTAAGCTGAATTTCTAAATGTTGACACATTTCATCAAAAGATGTCAAAATCTCAGACTCATTGACATTGCCACTGATTTAATTAGAAAAGTTTTGAAGTATTGCAAAGCTATCCTGGTTCACGTGGCATATATTTTCCAAAATACTAATTTTTATTTGAAAGTTTGATAATGCCATCATTTGTTCTCCTTAAAGTAATAAGCTCATTCATTTAACTTTTGGGAAAATATCTGCCTAATACCTAAGTCTAAATCTTTTGTCAGATAATCATTACTGCAAATAAAAAAGTGGTTTTCTATGAACAGAGGGGCTAATTTAGCATGCCACTGGATTGCCCAAATGATATTCCTGGAGATAACCATCTAACATCACTATGAGACAGAAGAACTTTATGTGCACCTACCATTTTCTCATACAGAATATTATGGAGATATTTCTGAGGGTAGAAATTTAGTGAAATTTCTACTAATTCATCAAAGACATTCTTAAAGGAAACTGGCATATGTTTATTGCAAGTGTGAGGTGAGTCAAGAATTTAAAAAATTGGTAGTATAATTTGGTACCACCACATTGACTTGTCCTAAGGCACCTGCAGTTTTATCTATAATTTTTTAGTACTGTCAGTGTAAATGTCAGCACATTCAGAAAATGAGAATACTGTTTTAGTATTATTATAAAAAGAATTTTGACATTAAGGGTTTTCTGAATAGGTCTTGGGGGATCCCCCAGTGGTGAAGGTACCACACTTTGAGATCCACTGATTAAAGTTTTATATTTGAAAGAGAAAGAGAGAGACAGAGACAGAGACACATGAATGCCACTACCTTGGCCAAAATATGTTTTCCATAGCCAATAGCAGTGCAATTGCAATGATATACTTTCAGAAAATAATTAATTATCTCCACTTCTTAACCCCCAAAATGCTATTTATAAGGTCTCTAGTAGCAGTGGTTTCCCGAGTGTTTGCTTTCTGTTTGTCACCTGATAATCACTCTGAGCTACCAACTCAGGATCAAATACAGATTCATAAAATGACAAGTAGATAATAACTATTATCCTGACTGTAGCCCACTCTTCTGTGCAACCACTTTGACTCTCAACTATCAAATTATGGCCACTAAGCTCTTCATAGCAGTTTTGGAAATTCATGGAGTATTATAAATATATTTTTTAAAAGCACTTTTTTTTTCTTTTTCCCCTGTTATTTATTTTTTATTTATTTGTTTTGAGAGAGAGTGGGGAAGGGGCAGAGAGGGAGGGAGAGAGAGAATTCCAAGCAGGCTCTGCACTTCAGCACAGAGCCTCACTAGGGGCTCAAACTCACAAAAGTGTAAGATTATGACCAGCGCTGAAACCAAGAGTCTGATGCTTAACTGATAGAGCCGATCAGGTACCCCTGTTTTCTTATTTCAAGATTATTTATGTAAGGTAGCACTCTGACAGGAGGGAGAATTTACATTTGCACAAGAGCGGACAGATTTCAAAAGGGAAGCAGAACAGCAAACAAGGGAAAGAGAATATAATGAAGAGTGTACATATATTGATAGTTGATAGTAACACATTCTAACTATATATGCAAAGATAAGTATTTTGGGAGTCGGGTTAAGGAGAACTATATATATGAGTAAAAGGGGTGTGTGGTTTGGTTTTTGTTTTGTTTTGTTTTTTTTCAACCTTTATTTATTTTTTGGGGGGACAGAGAGAGACAGAGCATGAAAGGGGGAGGGGCAGAGAGAGAGGGAGACACAGAATCGGAAACAGGCTCCAGGCTCTGAGCCATCAGCCCAGAGCCCGACGCGGGGCTCGAACTCACGGACCACGAGATCGTGACCTGGCTGCAGTCGGACGCTTAACCGACTGCGCCACCCAGGCGCCCCAAAGAGGGGTGTGGTTTTAAACAGTGTTTAAGATGAAAAAACAAAAGCAAAACCCCAATGCTCAATAAATCTCTACATCTTGGAAAAACAGCTTCTTTGTCACTACTTCTACTAGCCTGATGATGAGATGGCTCTACAGATTCCTCACTTGATTTTGTATCGGCTATAAACATAATAATTTCTATAACAAAGACAGACAGTATTTTCTGAGATGAGAAAAAGTAAACCCATTTGTCAGATGGTCCAGGAGCCTGAATAGAGTGTTTGACATAAATGACCTGACATGAGTCCTCACTAGAGTCACCAGATAAAATGCTTCACTCACTACTTTTTCTTGCTTAGGGAACTATAGTTTCAAAAAGAAAAACTATGGAGCGCCTGGGTTGCTCAGTCGGTTGAGCATCCGACTTTGGCTCAGGTCATGATCTCACAGCTCGTGAGTTCGAGCCCTGCATCGGGCTCTATGCTGACAGCTCAGAGCCTGAAGCCTGCTTGTGCAGAATTCTGTCTCCCTCTCTCTCTGCCCCTCACCTACTCGCATTCTATCTCTGTCTCTCTCAAAAATAAACATTAAAAAAAATTTTAGAAAAACTAATCAACAAAACTGTAAGTCTTCAATTTCTTATTGGGAATTTTTCCATTGCTTTGTCTTATATATTTTTCTGTGGGAGTTTTACTATTGAACATACTGTTCGATTTTTTTTAATGAAATATTTTTCTATTTCCATTAAGATTCAAAGAGAGTCTCATGTGCAACTCGAATAGGGCAGATAATAGTTCTAAAATTCTTTGGGTTTATGAGCCATAATGAGATATTTAATGTTTTCTATTAAAGTGTAATTCTGGGTACACTTGGGTGGCTCAGTTGGTTAAGATTCTGACTCTTCACTTTGGCTCAGGTCATGATCTCATGGTTCATGAGATCCAGCCCTGTGTTGGGCTCTGTGCTGACAATGCTGTGCCTGCTTGGGATTCTCTCTCCTCTCTTCTGCCCCTCCCCAAACTCACATGCATGCTTTCTCTCAAAATAAATAAACCTTAATAAAAACCTTTAAAAAATAAATAAATGTCATTTTGCTTATCACCTTAAAAGATAGTTAAAAGGGTGAAAAACTGAACCCCAAATTCATTTCTTATTAGTAATAAGATATGTGAAATTGCTTTATTAATGTCAGCTTTTATTGAAAGGTCTAATTCTACTCTTTCTGCCCTCCTGTGCAAAACTGTAGTAAAAGTCCTGTTTTCTTAACCATATTTTCCTCTCTAAATTAATAGCTGATTATCCAAACAGCAGGGGAAGTTGAGGAAACACTACTTCCCCATGAGCCTCCTCACTGTTACTTAGAGACTTCAAAATGAATATGTGTTTTAAGGCTCATGTTTTCATTAGTTTCTAACTCTTCCTTAGAACTGTTTGAACTGAATTTACTCTTAGGCAAACCAGAGGTATTATAAGTGGTTCCTTCAAATGGGTAGGTTACAGGAGGGAGCAGCTACATGTAAAATTTTATCTCTTGACTTTAATTTTATCCATAAAATGATCCTAATAAAATTTTCGAAGTCTTTTTCTCCATCCTGCCCAGCATTTATTCTCCATTTAAACTGAACTGTTTTACTTCTTGGCCCCGTGGATTCTCTCATAGCTAAGCCTTTTTGTATTTCCCTTTAGCACTACACGGTTAGCACTTTTCTAATAAAGTAAAACCTTGGATTGCAAGTAACTTGTTCTGTGAGTGATCTGCAAGATGATCAAACATTTCTAATAAACTTTAACTTGATAAACAAGTGATGTCTTGCAACACGAGTAGTATGTGATGCCCAATGTCATATGATCACAAGTGAGCCAATGGTTCTTCTCTCTCTCTCTCTCTCTCTCTCTTTTGCTGGCTCTCACGGTGGGATTGTGGGTGATCATCTCCCATGCTTAGTCTCAGGCTGCATTGTTTGGCAGAAATCATTGATTTTTCAGAACATTGGAAAGGTGCTCACAACTGGCACTAGGGTAATTTTTGTCACTTCAAAGCACCTATGGACAGTCCTTAGCTTTTCCATATACGAGTTAGCTTA